CACACACACACACACACACACACACACACACACACACACACAGAGGCCTAGGATGGCTCTGGAGTTCTAAGGCCTAGTTGACCTTACTTAACCTCTCTGATCTAAGAAGTGATCACAGTATGCGAATCCGGAGAGGGATGGCTAACAGTACAGAAATTCACATTCTGTAGTTCTGAAAAGAACAGACCCTGAACAGAGTGGGTAGTAGAAAATGCTTCCCAAACTACAACTAGTTTGTCTAGGGCACAATCGGAGGGCTAATCTCATCTTATCATATCATTTAAATAGTCTTTCCTGATACAGCTATCATAATGTATTGTATATGGCACTATATGTGTTTATTGTGTTGGAAATGAATTCTACTTTCAAAATTAATAAGCACATAATATGTGAAGGCTTAAACAAAGGGCTTAAGATTTTATAAATACAGTACTTAAATTTAAGACAAATTTTATATTTCCTCTGATACACACACTAACATCAGTTTCTTGGAGTATAAATTCATTTTTTACTAACTTCAATTCATTTAATTTTAAATGTGTAAAAAAAAACAACCCACACATCCTATTTATTTTCTCATAGTCAAGCTGAAGCTCAGCGGGAAAATATAATGTGATGACAGTTTCCATCTTCTTTGGGGAGAAAGTTATGAGTCCTGGGTGTGAAAGGCACAATGGAGAGTGGCGGCAGCTCCCCCATTGGCTCTCCGCCTTCTTTAAATTCCACAGAGGATGGCAGTTTGGATGGAAACCCCAAAATCTATTCTGTCCATCTGTTTTATTATTCTTAGAACAACTGTCAAAAGTTGCCCAGGGATCAAGTTGCAAACGTACTAATTTGCCTTTGAAAAGTGGGCCCTGGGGGAATTCTGGAACTCTGCTTATAAATTCAGAATCCCCTCAGCCAGCCAGCCTGCCCTACCCTTTGTGGAGGTATGAGACTTTGCACTTCCAGGCATACATCTGCCTCAAGCCCGGGATGCACTGATAGACTTACATCCCACTTCATAGGCAAATGAAGGGGAACCGCAGGGACTTGGCATCTTAAGGGCTGGCTTGTTCCCTGACAAGCAGACTGAGTTTTTTAGGAGGCAGCCCCTTCATTGATCATGGGTGGATGAAAGTCCAAAGCTTTGTACTGAAGGTTTAAAGGCGTGAACACGGCAGAGGGATGCCCGTTCTGTACTCTTTTATATCCTTGGACCAAACAGGAGATAGGCGCCTGAAATGAAACATCGAGGAAATAAGCTGAAGATAAAAACTATAAGCCACCGAACGTGGTGCCATTTGTTTCTGTGACTGTGTTGAAACAAAAACAAAAAGACTGTCTGGATAGGCAGACTGTCAGATGTGTGCTTGTTGGGAATTACAAGGCATACCTAGAGAGCTGTACATGCTAAAATATGGGGCATTTAGAGAACACGCTACTCTGCTCAAAACTAAAGCAGCTGCCCATTCCTTAAACTGGTTGTGCTTAAGGCATGTGCAAACATAATACACAGATGGAAGTGCATGAGGGCTTACTGGATACAGGGACACACGGGTCGGCACTGATCCTCCTAGTGACCAGCATTCTCGACTAGTTCCCAAGGGTCTCTTGCAAAAGCTTTCAATGCATAGGACCACGGAATTACACCTGAAAAACAGGATCTATCTGCTTTGGAGTTTGGAGTTTCTCAGTATTAGAGAAAACTGAAAAAGAGGCTCCTTCAAGGCTCACATGATGGCATTTGGATTGTACTTGCTCGGATTACCAAAAAAGTATTCAGCTTTGATTAAAAAATTTCCTTGAGCATGTTGCAAATGACTGCAGCAGGGAACCTGCTGGGAGCCCACTGCAGACGCACAGAAGGGATCACCAGTTGGACCTGCTGCTTTGTCCTTCTTTGGCTTTGCACAATCTCTTATTATAATAAGGCATGTATTATCCTTTTTAGAGATTTGAATACAGAAAGTCTCACTTTCAAAATACTGCTTATAATCCCAGAGTCTACGATGTTTTCTGTTGATGCTGGTCCTTTCAAAATGGAATGGATAATTAGTAAACTGAAATTTGATTAATGTTGGATTAAGAGGTTCTGATGTTTCCCTGCAATGTGTTATTTCAGTCTGAGGTCACTGGAAGAGACTGTCTTTAGGAAACTTGTTCCCCCTAATTTCCAGAATGGGAAGATAAAATTCAAACCTTATCTTTTAAATACGAGATTTCAGTCTATACATGTCAGACTGAAATTTTCTTTCTCCCCACTTTAAACAGTTTTCTTTGTTACTCTGAATTGAAGCCAATGAATTAACCAAGACAGCACAAAATTAAACAGAAATACAAGTTTTCCTCAGAATTTCTCAGGTTGAGTCTTCCTAGTTATGGTGCGTAACTTGGCATACACAGAGGTTTTAACACCCTCTGCTCTCAGTAGCTTCCAACACAGACTTTTGGGAAAGTGCAGAACTTCTCTGGAAACAAAGGGTCCGTCTGGTCTGGCATAGATTTCGGTCTTTGAAAGTAACCGCTTTGATAATATTCCAAAGAAAATTTTAATTTATAATACTCTGTGCATCCAAATGTCAGGGTGAGGGCTACCTCTTGAGGATTTACTGGTGTTATCTAAAGCCAGATAACGACCAGCCATTTAAATGATCAGTGAGGCAGGTTCTTGTACCCTGTGTTAAAAGTCATGCTGTTTCCCTCAGCTGGAGAGTATGGAAGAATCAGAAACCATGGCTCCCTTTGAATCTATGTCATTCCCAGGTAACTGTAAATGCTAAGACACTGTCATTTATGGAATGACCTTTTGCTCTTTGAATATGCAGACATCAATAAATGCCAAATGCCTAGAAATGCTCACAGCACTATGTAAAAGGTAAGTAGGGTCAGCCAACACTTCTCCTGCATGCTTTTCCCATGACAACCATTTCCACTTTTCTAACGGCTTTCTAATAGCAAAATGTATTTAGGAACAATAGTGGAATTTGTGTCATCATGACCAAATGATTCCGGTGCAAACCCGAGATTCTTCTGGGGCCCAGCAGGTTTCTGGTCCCTATGGAAACGAAACCTCAGACATTGTCCTCCACTCAGCTGGAGGATAAGGCCGGAGGCTTTTGTGCTCAGTGAGATTTCTTCCACAACCTTCCTGCAACAGACCTTAGTGCTTCCTCCCAACTCCTTTCTAATTGAGATGCAAATGCATCTCTCTGGCTGATTACACTTCCCTTATAGCAACTGACGAATGCAGCTGTACCAGAGTTTGTAGACTTTCCAACAAGTGACTTCAGCTGTCAGTATTTGCATGCCTGGCCTAGACCAGCCCACTCCTGCTGGTCTCAGAACTTCCTTTGGACATCGCAGGCGTTTTTTTTACTTATGTGCGTAAAAATTTACACATATTAATAGCTAAAAAAAAAAAAAAAGCTGCCCTCCCCATCCCAGCACACCAAAGAAGTGGGGCTTTCTGGCCATTTCCCTCTGAGCCTGGACTGGGGCTGTCACTCCTTCCTGAAGGTATGGGCTTTGGTGGTTAACAGTAAATTTAGCCTTGTAAGTTTTCTAACTTTAACCATCTTTGAGTTCACTCTTTCCTCCCCAGATCTATTAAATACTCATGACTATGAAAACTGCTGAATAGGCTTCATTTTCATTTTACATTGTTCAAAAGTCCATTAATTTCAAAATATAAAGTTCTTCCATAAATTTTAGAAAGTATTAGTAAAATCAATCAATCAGCCAATGTACTGTGTACATGTCAGGAAAGTGCTCTACCCCTGAGCTAAATCTCCAGCTACAAAACTATTTTGAACACAATAAGAGGAAACATGCATATCATTATCATCCATTAAAAGATTATTTCATGTAATACCTAGTTTTTCAAGAATTCTTCTAACTTTAAAAAAAAAATCCTTTCTGCTGTTTTTCCCAGCGTGCATTTGTTTCCTACCAGGCAGAGTAGTTACCCTGAGTGTTGAGGACAGAGCTGAAACTATACCTTTAAATAGGAAAACCAAGGTTTATACAAGGTACTGACATACACAGATGCACATGCAGGCTGTATGTGGACCCACTTTTCACCTAAGACAATGAAGGCTCCCAACTCTGAAAAAAAATGCAATATTATAAAGTATTTGTTTTATCTTTTGATTCTGTTTTCCAAAATGAGTTTACCAAATGAAGGTTTCACTTCCTTCACTGCCTGTCCCTCTGCCCCATCTCCCAGCTTTGCACCCATATGCATAAAGTCCCAGGAGGTACAGGGAAGAGTGGCAGTGAGAGAAAGAAAACAAGGTCCACACTGGGAACTGCAGAGTATGGTTGGGAGTGGAATACTCAATGCAGAGTGACCCTTAGGTCAGCAGAGTGGGAAGCAGCATCCCTGTCCATGATAACCTGGCAGACAGGGGTGACCCAGTTGAGACAGTGGCCAAGAAAGGAAGAGCCCAGGCTTTTGTGGACATTTTCCCAGGCAGAGCATCAGCCTGCTTTCTTACAGACTGTTAGAAGTTTAGTTTTCTTGAAATGAGGTCTTTGTAAGTGTCACTGCATACCAAAATAGTTTCTCTCTTTTCATGAAAACTTCCCCTGCAATCAGGTGCTTCCTATAGGCTTCATGTCCTGGGCAGCTTTGACACCAAGAAGCAGACCTTTATCATATGGTAGGGTGTTTTCTACAAGCCGTTGAAGGGGACATTTCCTACCCTGTATTTTAATACTTAGTAGGTAAAATGGAAATATTCCAGCTATGTAACTCCCAGCTGGGATCTTCTAGTTTTCACAACAGGCTTGGAGCCCATTATTTATGGGAACCAGGCTGGCACCACAATAAAAACTCCAAAAGGCAGCACTTACTGGACTTCCAGCCAGAACTGGATGGTGCTTTCCTGTCAGGATCTGACAGCCATGATGGTGGTACTGGCACTGGGTCTCATGAGGTGGGGACTACAGTGGTCAGAAGGACAGATGTCCAGTGAAGAGGTTAGGTATTACTAGCAGAAGGGGAGGGAGATTCAGTAGGCTTAGATATTTCTTCTTCCTCTTCTTCTTCTTCTTCCTCTTCTTCTTCTTCTTTCTTCTTCTTCTTCTTCTTGTTATTATTTAATTTATTTTTTATTTTTTCAAAACAAGGTTTTTCGGTGTAGCCCTAGCTGTCCTGGAACTCACCCTGTAGAGCAGACTGGCTTCGAGCTTAGAAAAATGCCTGTCTCTGCCTCCCGAGTTCTGGGATTAAAAGAGTGTGCCACCACCATTAGCAAGCTCAGATATTCAAAGTCTTTAGGAGAAATTAAAAAAAAAATAAAACCTATATTTTGTGGGCTGGAGAGATGGTTCAGCCATTAAAGGCTGAACTCATAACAGCAACAACAAAAACCCAAACCAAACAAAGCAACCAACCAAACAAACTCCATCAAAAACAAACAAACCCCCCAAACCAAAAACCTACATTTGGGGGGAATGTGGAGATGGCTCAGCAGTTTAGAGCGCTTGCTGCACAATCATGAGGAGCAGAGGTCAGATCTCAGCACTTGACACAAGTCAGGCATCCCACAAATGGCTATAACTCCAGCTCTAAGAGATAAAATCCTCTCCTTTAGTTTCCAGGACTGAAGAGTTGCTCATACCTGTACACACATGTGCATATACATATGCATATACACACTAAATAAATAAATTTTTAAAAATCTACATTTTTTTTTATATATACGGGCTGGAAAGATGGCTCAACAGTTAAAGCGCATACTGCTCTTGCAGAGGACCCGAGTTTGGTTCCTAGTTCTGATGGGGACTCACCACAGTCTGTAACTCTATGCCTTCTGGCATCTGCAGGGTCCAGACATGAATGTGGTACACATACAGACAAAACACCCATATACATAAAATATTCTTCTAAAAATCTACAATTTAAAAAAATGCAAAGTCTGCTTGTTTTTCACTGTGGCTGACAATCTTCAGTTTTGTTTTTGGTAATACAAGGAGGCCAAGAGCAGTTCAAACAAAGCCCATCTGTAGGCTGGATTCAGTCTGCAGGCAGCTGGTTCTGGGCTCTGGATGTTTGCATGACACTGAGCTAAAGCTGCTGCCTGGCTGGCTCTGCCCAGTGGTCCCAGTTCTGCAGATAGGTCATTTACAACCTCCCAGGTTCTAGAGGTGCTGCCTTCTTGGTCTGAATAGCTTCCAGATGCCTAAGGCTGCATAATGGTCACACTTTCCCTCGACTGGCTCTGAACTGTGAGGCCCTTCTTTCAATGTGGCCCCCAGAGTAGCACACTATCTTTGGATGACGATGATGCCTGGATTGTAGGAGCAGACTGTATTCTAACTCCTATGAGTGGATCTTGTGCCTCTTGTACTATGTCATAGAGAACGTTGGTGCTGCCAATGTTACATATGTTACCCTTTCATCTCTCACCTCAAATCTGTGGTCACTCCAAATCTCCAGTATTGTTCATGATGGCTCCTATCAAGCCATATCATTCCACTCCCGCTCTTACACAGTTGGTTACCCAACTCAAATATACACCATTTCTTTTATCCTGCCCAGTCCTATTGTTTGGGCCAAAGGTATCATCTGCTGAGACAACCCTAATTGTTGACCTTGCCTTGGGTTAGTTAATGCACTTAAAAAAAAAAAAAAACCCGAAAAAAAAACCCGATAGTTCTGGAACGTTGCTAAATCATTAATAAAACTGTTGAATGGAAGACGGGTAGGCTAATGGACAGAGAGCTGCCCAGTTCCAGAATTAAGGCATTAGAGTTCTGACTACAGTGAAGTTATCCATCTCTCCGGGTCCCATAGTTCTCGCTCATGTATGCCAGGTGATCATGGTTCTTTGTCAAAGTTAAGATTTGTATTTGTAAGCTTCTAAGCTCTGAAAAAAATGTAATGTGTTTTTGACACCTTACTCTTACAGACACATCTCTTACAGCTCTGAGCTCTGCTACAAATCTGCTGTAATGGTAGATATGGGTGGCTTTGGATAAGAACTCTACTTGTAGGAGCCAATCTCCTTTCTTTTTGTTGTAGTCTCTCTGTCATGACATCCAGAAGATGGGGACATTATTATGTATTCAAAGCACTTGGGACTCCTCCTTTAATCTTAAAGTACAAATTTTAAACTCAAATTTATCAGAAACCAACTTCCTAGGAAACTTCTTTGGTTGCTCTTTCATGTCTCCCGTTTTTCTTTCTCAGAAAGTCATTTATATTTTATTTACTTATCTGTTTGTTTTGAGACAGGTCTCACGTGTTCTAGACTGGCCTTGGACTTGCTATGAAGCTGAAGGTAACCCTGAACTCCTGAGATCCTGAGTCTACCTCTGTAGTGCTAGGACTACAGGTGTGAGTTACCATACCCTGTTTAACTGAAATTTTAAGATTTCATTGTTAGCAATCTTCCATTCCTCAATTCTTTTCTCTTAGTACCTCCCATGGGTAGCACTTGTCCCCCTCATCTGTAGTTCTTACACTGTGCTTCCCAAGTGTCTGGAGTATGGTTTATTTCCACTTTTCTCCCACTCATATACAAACTCCAGCACAAACCCACCACTTTCTGCAATACTCAGAGGCATAACACATTCTTTCAAACTAAGGCATGAATCTTATGTGGTACATTTTTGTGGTTCACTTCCAGTTTTCTAAAAGATGAGACTATCTGCCAGTTAATGTTTGCTGCCTATAGTAGAATGTGCTTTGAGTCAATATCAAACAGTATTACCCATTACAACACTTTTTCTTGTAGGTCTGTTTAGAGGTCCTAATTCTCTTATTTCCCTTTGGTTTTTCAAGACAGGATTTCCCTGTGTAGCTCTGGCTGTCCTGTAGACCAGGCTAGCCTTGAACTCACAGAGATCCACCTGCCTCTGCCTCCTGAATGCTGAGATTAAACACATGTACCACCACTGCTCAGCATAGAGGTCCCAATTCTTAAAGTATCATTCATCCCTTCCACCTGCAACTTGCTGCCATTCAGTCTACTTAACTTTGCCTCCTCCCCCCACAGTAATTATCCCTCCACAAGTGTTCAATCCTACCCTAAAGTGGTTTCCTTAATTTTTTTTGGGGGGGGTACTGTAATTATCTGGTATGTCTTGACTTCTTGCTTGCAGAAACTCACTTCTTAGTCTTCTCACACACACTTTTCCATGTAAAGACCTGAGACTATTAGCCTCAGTGGTGAATGAAGCCAACTATGAGGATATGTCTTGCTTGGCTGGTTTGCTGTAAGTAATGCTTCCTCTCTCTCCTCTTTGTTCCCCTTTCCTATGTCTCTCTATACCTACCTGTTCCTTCAAAGTCTATTCTTTAATTGCTCCACAGGAGGCTATCTATGGTTATACATTGGATCAGCCCACCCCTTGCATAGGTTCTCATCTATTCCCTTGCCTCTGCTACAGACAGGGCCCTATTCTCTCTCAGAACTCCTTCCACAGTTCTGTGTATGCTCTCTCTGCCTGTCTTCTCTGTGTGCCTGTGCCTGCATGTGCATATCCTACACTCTGCCATATGGAAGCATCTGTCATTCTCATATGTAATGGGCTTTCATAGCCCGGTCCATGAGCAAACAGTGTCCTCTCTCTTGGAATATTTTATTCATATTTATTTTTCTGGTGGCTAGGATGGTGCCTGGCACATGGCAGGAAAGCTGCAGACGTTGACAAATGCATAATTGATTGTGCATGGTGTGGTTTGGTTTCCTTTCTGCAGTATAGGGAAATGGGAAGGAAATAATCAAAGGTCTGTCCTGGAAGAAGAGTTCAGGATCCCACTGGACAAGAAAGAACCTGGATTGTTAGAGCTTTAGAGGGAAGGGTCAATTTTGAAGCTGTGTGAATTGGGAACAGAATTTTGTGATGATATTAAAGGCACATGCCTCTTAGATATATACCAAATATTTATGTACCTGTCAGCTGAAAATGAAAGCAAATCTCACTCATGACAGAAGAGGTATGCAACTACGTTATCTTTGGCATACCAGTTCTCTCCAAATATTGACACTTCCAGAGAGTAGAGATGGCAAATGCCACCGAGACTATTGTTCTATTGAAGTGGACATTTAGTCCAGAAAGCTACCATCGGCTTGATTCAGGGTGAAATCCTCCTAATGGGCACATTGCATATGGTGAAGGAACCTTTACCCTGAAGTATGTTATCTGACAAGGAGAATGAAAGTCCTTGGCTCTAATGGTTATAGGAAGTTCTATTAGCAGACCACAGTTTCACTTTGGAATCTTTAGTTGGCTTGGGAACTGTAAACATAACATGTGATAAGCTTCCTACTTACTGTTCTCTAGGCCCAGGAACAGGCCCTACTTGCCAGTGAGCGATGGAAGAGGAAGATGAGAGGTGAGCTGGCTCTCACTACTCAGTGGTGCATTGGCCACAGGATGACAGTACGCTTGGCAGATTTGATTCAGCCCACTAAGGAGGTCACAGGAAGGCCCACAAGCCGCAGAAGGGCTGGGCACAATTACAGGGTGTTTTCTACACACGGTCCTACTGTGTACACATTTTTTTTTTAAATTATGGGAGACAATGATATTTTTCAGTCTTCTTTGTGCCTCTGCCACGCAGTTCCAACTGTTTGATCAATTAGCCAAGAGAACCTCACACAAGAACTCCTTTGATATTGACCTTAAGCAAGATTTACTGCTAAAAAGCGAAACAAAAAAGCCCAAAAGACAAACTTGTTTGGGCAGTGCTTCCAATCCCCAATTAATCAGAAGTGCATTTTTTTAAACATTCCACAGTCAAATTGACCCTTAACTGTCCACATTTCTACTACTAGTTAAATTTACATAAAACTGGATCCCAATCAAATTTATTCTAAGGAAGTTAAATATCAATCAACCGGGGAGAGAATAGGGAGGTAGAAACAACTAAGTCATTTCATTGTCTCTCTGCTTTGGCTGCCATTAGGCATTGGTCAGTGTGTAGTCACTACATAAAAGAAGCAAGTGCTCCCACCTCAAGGATTTACAAAGGTCTGAACTAAATGGTCACTCTGACACCTAGAGAGGGGTTGACACTGAGATGAAATTAGAATCTTGTCACAACTTAGTAGTTATTTCAAAACTGCAATCTACGTATTAGAAGCAAAACAAGGACTTGGGATAGTTATGTAAAAAAGCCTGGCTGACAAGGAAATTCTCATTGTTCAATGCTGGCCTTGCATCTTGGGAACAGGCAGCTGTCATTCTTCCTGATATTTGATCTTTAAGTGAAGTTTTTTTCTATGGCAGCAGACACAAACTGCTTCCTTCCTTAATGACTCTGGGTTCACACCAACACAGCTGTGCTAAGGGATATATTGCCTGATTTTAGGGGAAACAACAACAACAACAAAACCACACACATGCACACATACACACACACACACACACACACACACACACACACACACACACACACCCCTCCCAATGCCAGACATTTAGAGCCAGAGTTCCTCAACATGCACTGGAGATTTCAAGATGGGTTATAACAGGGCTTCAGGGCCACTTGGCTTGAGCAGCTGGAAATGAGAACCCATTTCCTCAATGACTAAGATATCATAAAAGCTGAGAGGTCACACTTTTCTGCCAAAGCAGAACTTGCTTTGACTGTGGAAAGAAAGCAGCAGTGAGTGACCACAGAGCCACAAGTAACCAGAGAACCTACCAAACCCTTTCCAAGCCGTGCGACTCCCTTGTAGTAGTCAATCATTTGCTCTGCAAACTGCCACAGAAGGAAAGGGATTATAGGGTGACCCAGGTTTCTCTGCTTCTCAGTTCTTCCTTGCTCAGCAGCAAACTAATTGTGGAGGGCTGCTAGAATACACAGACAGGAAGAACAAAACATATATGCACACATGAGCTATGGCATATGAATTGCAAAATGCTATTGATTTTAGTTGATGAGTTGAAAGCTTATAGATTTATTATCAAATTAGTACTCTATAATTTAGAATGATAAAAATCAAAGCAAATAATTTAAAATTTAACACTCCTTTACTTTGAGTGATGGTAAACAGCAAACACCGGAAGGCAGTAAAAAAAAATAGAGAGTGCTTTATACTTCAGGACCTTTCTAGGCACTTTCTCCTCTCTTGAAAAGGAGTACCACATGCTTGTTCCCCATTGGTCAAGTTAAGTCACTAGCACTGGATCAAGATACATCCAAGGCACTGCTGATGACCTTACCCCTTAGGGGTCTGCACAGGGCTTGTAGGGTGTGGTGGCACCTACACCTCTTGCCTATTCACTGTCTACTTGGCAGCCTTGGACAGACCCTCTAGCATGCTGTTCTAAGATGAGAATCCTGAGGTACATGTGTCCCGGAACTCTGAGCAGCTTCTTTGGGGGTCACCTAGAATGCCACTGCTATCACAGCTGACTCTTGGGTCCATCACAGGCACCCTTACGGACCTGCACGTGTACAGGATTCATGTGATATATATGTACCTCCCAGAGCACTGAATCTTGGGTCCTCTGCTGAGTGTCACCTATGCTCCTCTCATTCTCCAATCTCTGCTGAAGTATGTTCTCCTTGGAGAGGGCCCCCTTATCCTGACTTTTGTTCACCCCAACTCTCAGCTCACTTGCTCTCAGAAGATATGGGACCAATCAGCCTGTGCGCTCTTTAGGTGTCAACAAGGACTGGGCTCCTAGAGCCCTGCTGTGCTGCAGTGGCCCTAGCTTCTAGCACTGGAGTTGGCAGACAGGTCACAGGAACTGTTTGTTTGGTAAATGAAAGCATGCAATTAGCACTCATAATTAGGACTGGTTAGAATAGTCAGTGGTTTTGAAAATTCAAATATATAAAATATAAGACTATGTCAATGAAGCAACAAATTCCAGACAACGGCTATGACACTGGAGCAGGTCAGATGCTCCCAAAGCGCACTGAGGACTTCAATGTTCTAGTGAACGTTACAGGAGCAGCTGGCACAAGCTCACACAAACAGCTGTAAAACTTAGTGAGGATGTTTAAAGTACAAAAATCTCCCTTTTCTCTTTCCCATTTCCTCATTTTTATTATAGTCCTTATTTCTGACTAGAGTATTAGCAGTTCTGCAGACAGAAATAGCTATATGATCACAAATTTTTCCTCACATGACTACAACTGTATACAACTTTGTGTATATCATTTGATTAACTGTTTTAGATTATTTATTTGACCAACAAATTAATTAAGAGAAAAATATTTAAAACTTTATGATGATCAATATAATAGGTTTTGTTATTACTTTCCCTCCTTTTCATTCTAAATTGTCCTCTAAGATGTCAAACCGTCTATTTTATGAGTTATTCTTGAGTACTGGCACCCACACTCATGATGTGGTTTCTTTGAATTTTTTAAGGAGACACTGATCATTATCTTTTCAACTCTTAAAAACACCATTTTCCCTAAATCTGACTGCTCCAAAGGCACAGAGCTAACGTTCAGCAAAATGACAAAACATTTATTTTGTGATTTGTTTGATAAAGGAAGAGGATGTGACAAGATTAAAAAAAAGCAAAGTGGACTTCTACAAAATAGAATGTTCTTGTTTTTAAAGGGCTTTTGTTGCCTCAGCCCAGTATCCTTGACTGACAGGTGTCTAGCTCATCTCAGGTCATATACCAACTGACAGACAGTTGTTGGACAGGTCTTTCTCATTTTTGCCAAGAAGGTCCTGTAAGCTGCAGTTTATCTGAAATATAAACTACATGCTGGGGGTAGAAGTGGCAGCAGCTATACGTTACATCTGGGGTGTTCTGGAAATCTCTGCAGAGAGTACTGCTTCCAAACACTCCCCACCAGCCAGGACAAAGCATGAGTGTGTGCTGGAGGGAATAATGCAGCCTGGCCCCAGGGGAGGGACCAGATGGGACCTAATAGCTCTTTTCTACTACTAATTTCTATGATAATTTTAAGTTGCCACATGGCATATGTACTTTTTAAAATCTAAAGGCAGGATATTATTCAACTGAATGACCAATATTTTAATGAAAGGTATGTTACAAACTGTATCTCTTTACACGTTATTTCTCACTCACTCGCTGTCCACTATAATATATCACTTACAACTAGGCTGGGAGAAGTCTATAGAGAGAGGTCAAATAGAATGTGTTTTTAATCATTGTTGATACCAATTAGAAATAAAGAAATTCTAAGTTTTATTAGGAACTTAGATGGTTTTTGTAGTGGCTTTATGAAGTCACTCATCTTCATCTTTTTCTTTTCTTATATTTGGAGATCACATGTGGATTTAGGGACTACACATACCAATTATTGCTTGAAAGAAAAATTAGAAACGTGAAATTTCTCCTGTTTTCAGAGATAAGAACAGGAATTAAGAGAGGAAATATTAATGATTGGAGAAAATTGCAAAACCTTTTCTTTCCACTCTTAGTGATGAATCCAGATACAACTTGATTTGGGTACTCCCTTCCCTCTCTTCTCTGCCAGGTGGAATTTCTCCTTCCTCCATCCATCAGAACTCTGCATTTCTTGGGTGCTGTGTACAGTTTTTGATTTATTAATCATTTCATTTGCTTTTGCTTTCTGGTGCTCTGAATGAGAACTGCAGGTTTGCTCCATACTCCTCTTTCTGCACAGTGGACTTTGACTTGAAGAAGAAGAAGAGACTGAATCTGGGAAAAGTCCCAGAAGCCTTGAGCATGACAGTCACGGCCTCTCAGAAAAGACTCCTGGACGAACTAGGAGAACAAACTACGTTCAGGGCAGCACCATATCACTGTACTTCACAGAGATCAACAAACAGCAGCACAGCCCGGGCCTGAAGCCCACTTACCTCTCCTGAAAGCTCTCCAGGAAACTCACCCTGGGGAGGGTTAGTAAGTTACATATTTACAGCAAAAAGATACAAGCTCTGATAGAGTGGGATGAGGCACTTCACCGCTCTGCTGGCATTGATGCACGTGGCACAGATAAGGCTTGGCAGCAGCTTCCCACTCACGATGGCTCCGTCGAACAGAGGCCCAAAGAACGGAACCTGGAATTCATAACAGAAAAACTATGTTCAGAACCAGCCTTGGCATTATTTTGCTAGATCCATTTCCACCATGTGGACAAACCACAGTGTTCGTGGATGTCTTTTTTTCTTTCTTCCTTTCCCCTCTATTAGAATTTCATTAATTCTATTCATTAACATGGAGGTTGTTGGCTCTGTGAGATTTGGGACTGGAGCTGGCTAGTAACTCTTATATACACGAACAATTTCTCTTGATTTTTCATTACTTTACACAATATTATATGATAGACAATATTGTATGATTTATGTTTGTGAAGAACACACACATAAGACCTCTGCTATAAGCTAACTGAAAGTTTATACAGATTTCAGAAAACAAACAGTTAAACATATACTGTATATGATGTGTAAAACGGATGAAAGTGCAGAGAAGAGCAAAGGGCTTTGGGTGGATGTGTATCTCCAATTACATCAAAACGAGAGGGAGAGTTTTAATGGAAATGTTTCATTAAAAGTCTATAGGAGATGGAAGAATAAACCAGGAGCTATGAGGACAATGGGTGGAAGAATATTCCATGAAGAACAGCAGGTGTCTTGCTTGTATTAGGAAAATTAGCGTGTTTAAGCAAAGGCAGGAGAGTCACAGCTGCCAGAGCCAAATTGTAGAAGGAGACCAAGAGGGAGAGAAGTTGCGCAGGAAACAAGAAGAACCTCATAGAAAGCTGTAATAATTCTCAATTTCTACTCTAAGGAAGACAGAAACCTTCTAGAAGGTTTTAGGGAAGTGGAAAACAACATCTATTAAATGAGAAAAGTAAGATGATCATTTCATAAAATGGCTTTAAAATAAGTGTTTCATGCCAGGCAGTGATGGCCCACATCTTTAATCCCAGCACTCAGGAGGCAGAGGCAGGCGGATCTCTGTGAGTTCAAGGCCAGCCCGATCTACAGAGTGAGTTCCAGGATAGGCTCCAAACTTACACAGATAAACCCTGACTCAAAAAACCAAACCAAACCAAACCAAACAAACAAATAAGTGTTTTATTTAATTCAAATTCTATTTATAAAAATTTCTTAGCTATTAAATAAAAAGGAACTTCATTAAAAGTATCTTTACTCTTGTGGCCTGCTGCTCGTATAGTCTGTCCTATTTTATTGTTTTGTGTTGCATAAAGTTTCCTTGCTACTTTGCAGGACACCCCCCCCCCAAAAAAAAGAATTTACACTAAGCATATACTAAACTATGGCAGTAGTGAACCCTGGAAAGTGGTATGTGAGAGTCAATGAGAAGAGCACTTTCATTACTGAATTTCCAGGACAGAAAAGAAAGAAAGGGGGGAATATGTGGATACTATGAGTTGGAAGGAAATAATCAAAACTGTTACTATTTTAGTTGTTATATTATTATATAATTATAATAGTCAAAATATCAACAGATATAGAATAGACTCACATAACCTACTTCTCTACCCTCAGCAACAACTGATAAGAAAACAAAACGATAGCATATATTATTATCGTTATTTTATTACATCATAAAATATGGACTACAGGTCTTACAGATTTTACAGAGGAAAAAAATCACAAAACCTTCAGAGAAGTAATCTAAGTACATGAGATGATCTTTTCTGCTATATCTGATAAGAAGACTCTACATCACCATCACTTCCTCTTATAGAGTCATTCATTCAAGGACTCAGTGCAGTGTCTGGTTTAGCCTGAACAGTTATACAGAGGTGACAGAGGCTAAGGGAAGCAGACATTCCTTAGGAAGAATGGGGTAGGGGCTTACTTTAGTTGTAGGAAAGCATGTTGGAAGCTGTAGCATAAGATGAGATAAGCTACTAGAGCAGCTCATACAGGACTTATGGAGCCAAAGGGAGGAGTCACATCTACTTAGGACATAAGATCCTGCGAATTGGTGATGCTGACTTATGAGATGTGGCATATCCCAGGAACCATTAACACCCCAACCCCCTTCAAGAAGGTGATAATTCTTTTGTAATTAGAAAACTGAAGTCTGGGTCTAAGGCAGGGCCTTCCACTTTACTCTGTTCTCCTGTTCCTCTGATGTCTGATTTCTTTGGAGAACTTAATGCAGTAGTACTCCTACTAGAAGACATGGCATTCTCTTCAATGGCTACTGCCTACATTGGGCTTTGGGATCACTGTGCACTGCGATAGACAGTAAAGGAGGGTCTGGGTGAGCGGCCCTACCCTAGAAAAACAGTGCTGCTGTTGCATGGTGAGGACAGGGAACAAAGAGCTCCGGGGCACCCCCTCCTGGTCCCATACTCAATGGTAAAGTTAATGAAAGGCTACATTCAGAGTTCTGATCAAAACCTGGATTCCAATGTTTCATCTATCTAAATCTGAACAACTCCTGAATGTCTTATCCTAGTATAATGACCAAAGTCTAGGTATTAAGATTTTCCATGACTGTTAACGAACTGGCTTTCCTTACCAGCTAGCTGCAAGATGGAAGATACCTATGGAGCTCCTGCCATATTGTCCATGGCTAAATGATACAAAGCTCTGGCTGAGAGGAAGCACATGCTTAGAAATTACAGCCCAAACTAATTTATATCCATCAGGCTGGGGTGCAGAGCAGGACATTTTCACATCCAAGCTTTCTTATTGGCCAACTGTGAACACAAAGGCAGCTTTTTGCTGAGAAGTAGTGATTCCGAAGTTCATGGCACCTGCTATCACTGTCAAGTACATCAGCCTAAGGGTTTAACTAGCTGCAAGGGTGAGGGCAATATTTGGGACAAATCTCCATTTGATACATAATAACTAATCCCCCAAGGACTCAGCTGGAACATTTTGATATTTTCAACTGGAGCTGGGCAAATGCTTCACAGACAACCGTGAGCTTTTAGAATCAGACTATTGCTGTGAGCTTTTAGAATCAGACTATTGCTATGTATGGGTTTACTGAGATCCAGTCCATGCTGAAAACTGCCTTCTTTCCTTATCAGCCAGTTATACACCCCAATGCTACAGGTATCACACTCATAACAAAGATATGGCCATGATTTTTGTGTCTGGCTTTTTGGCACTGACTTTATCATGAGAGAAGACAGTAATGTAATATAAAGGTTTTGGATTTCAGTTTCTGCTGAACATCTCATATTTATCTTTGGTGTGGCTATAAAATGAATACTCTGAAGGACACACATGAAAAATCCTTCATTATTATGCATCTACATACAGAGGCTACAGCTGTCTTGTTTAGATGATCCTTGAAAGTTAGGCGGCTAGAGACCAAAACGGCAAAGTCAGGTAGAGAGAACACATGCTTTTATACTAGGAGAATACCTGCTTACAGCACAGAATGATGGGTGAAGAGAAATGATCTGAGAGGTCAAGAGCAATTGCCATAATGAGCACAACCGCTATGAAGCAGTAAGTGTACGGGAAGGACCACTGCAACCGTGAATTCAGAAATAACTTTAGATGTAGAGGTTAAGTAGAGAGGTTATTAAGATCGTCTGTATGTGTGGGAAAGGGCACGTGGAGAGTCGTCAGTGGCTTGACAGATCAAAACAGCTTTCCCCATAAATGCTTGGTCAAGAATAACTTCCCTCTCAACCCCCAAGAGGCTCCAGCTGCTCTAAAGGAGAATGCTTCATCTGGACTTCAACAGAGCTTTGAGGGGGTTGATTAGAACAACAAATAACTTGTTTCCCACATTTTCACTAATCTTCTATGCAAACTTAAAACAAAAGGTAGTTATAAACAATGATGAAAGGATCATATACCATTTGAAGAACAAAGAAGCATCAATAAGAGAGGTCAAAAGGGTGAAGTAACTTCTAGACAACCAGAGGCCATGCAGACCAGGGGCTGGCCCTGCTCTAGGGATGCCCAACGGTAGGACATCCAGGACTTGCTGGTACAGTCAGAACACACATCCTATAAGCACCTTTCTGAGAGCTACGACCCAATGTCTGGTCATAGTTTTCCCCTTGGGGAAGTACAATCCCACAGGAATTATGAGCTGGAAGGGAACAGCTGCACTTTTGTATCTATGCCTGAGATACTGCAGTGAGAGACAGATAAGTCAATTAAAAAGGTAGTATTAGAAGACAATTTTTCGGTTTAGGGAAAAATTTTTGTGAAAAGTACAACATAATATATTTGCAGCACTTTTCACATGTGGTTTAGGGCAGGATGTGGCAAGGGGACACAGAGATGACTTCAAGAACTGTCTTTAGGGGAAACTCTCTAAGAACTGCGCTGCTCAGGAAATGGCTCACTGAATTTGAGCTAGTTTCCTGAAAGATGAGAGAAAACAGATTTAAACTATTTTGCAGAGCCTGGGGTAGACACAGTAAATAATTTTCAAGTAATGAGCAAGTCCTGTTGGGAAGCAACATGGCACCTCAATGAATGTCTTATAAGAAAGCTGACCACTTCTATATTTTAATTCATTAAGAGATTGTATTAACCACAGACAAGGAGTTTTAAAAACTCAAAAACATCTGAGTTGATGTCTTCCAACTCTTCTATATCCCCATTTTACAGAGAAATGATGAAGACTGGAGTGGCTTGTTGCTTTTCTCAAGCTCATCAAAGTCAAAATAGTGGTTCAGACTCCACTGTGACCCAAGAGGCTCTTCATGCACGGCCTGCCAGCCCACTTCTCTGATGCTGGTCACATAGGATGTTTCCTGTATTCACTCCTGAAGCTCAGACTACCTCATGTCTTTGTCCTTTCTGTCCTTCCTGCTTCATACTTGATGAGGGCTGATACCTGCTCCACTGGGTCCGAGCTCAATTATCATAACCCAGGGAGCCTCTCTGTCAACAGAATCACTGTGCAATACTTCCCTTTATCTCCAATCACTTTCATTACTTGAAGCTGATTGATACTGTTAGCCTATCTTCTGATTATTAATATATTAATGGTATATTCTTCATTAGCACTTATTTAAAGGTCTTTGCCAGATGGCTTATTGTTGGGCCTTGTATTCCTCTTCTCCTCCTTTTTTTTTTTTTTGCGCACTTTGACAATG